ACATTTTCAACAGCAGACATCTAGCCATGGTGACAGGCACAGCAGGCAGGTGCCTCAGCTCCAGCAGTGGTTTGCTCTTAGTCACCTAATTTAAATGACAGAGTAGTCTAACTTAGCTTGAATCACTCAGCAGGGTTTATTCCCTGCTTGCAGGCTGCTGTCCACGGGGGAGCATTCAGCCCTTGCCACCTCCAAGGGGAAACTCTCCCTGCTAAGTCTGATACCTCATCTCCAGGTGATGAGGGTGGTAATTCCTCCCTGAGCTGATGGACCTCAGGCTCCATCCCACCTTAGCCTGTGGAGTCACATCACGGTGAAAAGCTGTGGTGTCAGGCTGGTGTGTTGGCACAGCATAGGGTTGAATTAAGAGCAGAAGCACAACCACGTAGATAATCTGCTGTCACTGTCATGCACAAAGTGTTTCTGCTCTTCGAGCTCTGGTTTGGCAGCTCCTGCGATGAGAGGGATGAGGGCACCCTGCTCAGTAGGACAGCAGCTTCCTCCTGACGCCGATGAGCTGTGACATTTCAATCTCGAGGCTGCTCTGAGGACTGGGGTGATGGACTCCACCCCTGGCCTTGCTGATGTTTGCTGCAAACTAATGGGCTAAGGAGCACACAACCTGCACAGCTAGTTTTTAGCAACTACCATCCATCTACTCATCAGCTCACTGCTGCTGACAAACAAGCAGAAGGCAACATTCAACAGGCAGCACTACAGCATGTCCCTTATGCACCAGCTGAGCATTCCCAGGGGCAGAGCTGGTGCCAGGGCACACGGGCACTGTACCCTGACCCAGGGCTGGTGGGCAGCAGTCTGTGCATGCAGGCAAAATGTGCTCGCAGAGCTGTTGCATCAAGAACCAGGAGAATGGGGAAGGCTGTCCCCTAGTCACACCATCCCCATGGGCTGTTGCTGTGTCAGTGGGTGGATTAGCAAAGGCTGAACAGGAGACAACCCAAAGTATTGCTGGGGAAAAACTGTGGGAGGCCATCTGAAAGGATTGGCTTTTCTCCCCAGGTCACTCATCCACTTCCAACTAAGAGCTCAGTCATGAGTTTAGCATCAGAGGGATGTACCTTCCTGGTGGCTGGGTGGGATGAAGCAGCATTGTGAGCCTGCAGCTCCTGGTGGGGCTGGCTTGGGTGCCCCATAGCATGTTTGGAGACAGGGTGATGTCCATGTGGTTCTCATGACACCATAGACCATGTGCAAAGTTCTCTGAACACTCACCAGCTCCACTAGTGAGAAAACACACACCTGATGTTGCAGAGCTGTTAATGGTGGTGAGTGAGGGACCAAGATTTCTTGAAGACTTTTTTCTCCAGAGGCTATGGAGGGTAGGAAGGGACAGATATGTTACAGCATCCCTCAGCTCCACCATTTTATTGAACAGTGCTTTTTCTTTTTCTCCTTGAAGTCCCCTCCTGGAGTAAGGAGATACTTCTATTTCCTTTTTAAAGAAAACTAACACTCACTGCCAGCTTGAGGGTTATGATCTTCTGGGGGAAAAAATTGAAGAAAAATGGCAAACAACTGCACAATGTAGTACATTTTTAAATTCCCATGACCTCCTGGGGACAAATGCCTGGAAACAGCATTGCCCCAATGACATTTCCAGGAGTAGGAGTGCTCCTTGAGAGTTGATGCTGGGAGAGAGCACTAGAAAGGGTTGTGGGGAGACAGGTGAGCTAAACTGTGGGATTCAGAGCTCTCTCAGGGTTGTGTTTATTAGCATCCCAGTAGATCCTGGTGCCATCAGTGCTTTAGGGCCTACCAGGTCCCAGGGAGGTCCAGATCAGTCAGACCCCATCCAGACCTGCTGCCTGCTCTGGCTGCACCCCACTCATAGGGAGCCTGTCTGTACAAACCAAAACCCTGTAAATGCTTGTTTGAGAAGACAATTACCAGCTGGAATGGAGACATTTAGCTAGACTTTCTGTCCAAAGGGGCTTTCCACACCTCATCATGCTCATGAGTAAATAGTTCCTTCTTTTGTCCATGTTATCACCCTGCTGATATCAGTCACAGGTTTCCCCAGTGTGCCAGGGCAGCCTCAGGCTTAAACATGACTTTGAAGATCCCAAGGACAAAAAGTTCAGCACTGACCTGCTTGGCTGGGGGAGGCTTCAGACAGGACTCCCCCTGCACCACCTGACAGCCAAAAATGATGCTCTGCCCAGTTCCATCTTGTCATCAGGACAATTTCACACCTGTCCATGCCACCACTCTACCCTTGATCACAATTAATCCCATCCCACACACTCTCCATCTCCTGAACACAGCCTCTCCCAGATGTAGGAAACTTATGAACCCCTCTGTTCTCCTCTGCACAGCACAAACTCCAAATTCCACTGGAGTTATCACCAACCACTCTGATCTCCCCAATCACACTGGCAGTTGACATACTGGCAGGCACCTAAAGCAAAGCACTGCACACTGCGTGGTGGCACCTCCTGATTTACTCCTCTTGCTTTACACCAGAGCCTTGGCCAGCCTGGCAGCATGACTCACCTCCATCTGGGCACTGCAGGCTCCCCAGGGTTAAATCACTTTACATCACTCAGTGACAAACCAAATGACTGTGGTTAGTGTTGTTTAAACCTTCAAGGTCCTTTTATTTTTGTGCACTTTTTCTTTGAGTTCCCTCCAAGGTGCCCAAATGTTCCAGGAATGGAGTGATCCAGTGTCCCCATGGAAATAAGTGCCCCTGGGGAAAGTGGGGATGTGAATGTATAAATATTTAACCACGGGACATAGTGCTCCTTGTCCCTCACGCATGCCTGGCAATCATTACTGGGACCAAGCCACCCATGACCTCCAGAAACAGAGCAGGAGAGGGTGAAATTCAGCCATTCCCACACAGCAACTCTGGATCTGGTTTTGAATCCCCCACCCAGACACTGTGTGCCCCACCAAGGCAGGACCAGGTGCCAAAACCCTTCTTCTCACTGTTGTCCCAGGCCAGCTCAGTGCATCAGCTAACGCCATTGTTGGACCTCTGGTTACCTATCTGTAAGGTAATAATTAATGTGATTCGAACCTTGATCTGTATAATAATTAACCTTGAATGGAGGTTGTCCAGCATTTCTTCCCCACCTCTTCCCTTCTTCTAAATGCTCAGGCATAATGAAAGTGAAACAGTGCCAGAGAGTGTTCCTGAGAGGAAACAGTGCTGGAGGTCTTGGGCAGGTGTGGACAGGTCTGTTTATTCCACTTTCCATAGGCTTTTTCAGAGGGCAAAGGAGGATGGAGAGCAGTGCCAATCCTGGAGGGAGCCCCTCAGCCAGTGTGGGTGTGCAGGATAATGCCCCAGTCAGCTGAGATGGGTGAGCTGCCCCAGACCTCTGCTCTGCAGAGCTGCCTCCCTGCCACTGTGTCTGCCCTGGATTTCCAGTGCCACAGACCTGCTCTGTTTCTGTGGATCACACCTGTGTTATCCCAGCTCGCTGCAGAGAGGATCAGTTAGGTGAGTACTGGGGTATGTATACCTTTCCTTTCCTTGCTCATGGGCTCACATCTTGTTCCTCCTTTCCTGGTTTCTTCACCACACAGCTCACCCCTTTGATCATTGCTGCTACACAGAGTCCCCATGCAGAGTTTGAGCTAGGGACTCAGCCCCTTCCTACTGAAATCCCAGGACAATGGAGTGTCCTTCTCTCCCTCCCACCCTATGTGATGGAGTGAGCTCTTGAGCAAGGCAGTGAATGGTCAAATATTCCCACGAGATTGTGTGATGCAGGGGCTGAGCCCCACTGTGTGAGCAGCTCAGCAAACCCATGGGAAGATGCCATCCCTGCAGTTTAGAGCCTGTGAAATAACCAGGCACAAGGGAGCAAAACTCTGATCAAGGAAGGATGAGATCTATTTCCAGAGTCCCAACATGTCCATTCACTGCAATCACATTTCAGTCTCTGGCTTCTGTGAGCTGGACAGACCTGAGGCAGGCAGTTCCTGGCTCGCCTCAAGCAGTAATGTTTTCTAATGATTTGAATTGATCACTGAGCTGCCTTGAGCCTGCTCTGGGGAAATGTGGCATTTCCCATCCTCAGCGCTCTGCAGTGTACGTCTCTGTGAGTGGGCTGTGTTAGCTGGTGGCCTCATTAATGATCTTTGCAAAGGAGGGAAGGCAAAACCTCCCTCTCTTCCCCCTTCCCAAGCAGCAGGGCCATCCCTCAGGGTGGGCAGAGGGGAGCTGATCTGTCTGCAACAGGGCAGGAGCTGTGACTGCAGCCCAGCAGCACTAACAGGAGCACTTCTGCTGAAATCTGAAATGTCCTGCAGCATCCCCTGCAGCTCATGTAGAGGTTTGCTTGACCCTGGAGATCCTTGGCATGCCAGGATGCAGTTCTCTGAGGCAGGATGAGTGATGTGAACCCCTTCTGCATTGTACAGCCTCCTGCACTGTAACCATGACAATTCAGAGTGCAGAGAGAGCTGTGGGTTTGATGGAAAGGGCTAGAGCAGAACTCAGTCACTCTCTGGGGACCACTCACCTTGGGCCACCTCCAGCAGCAGCAGGTCAGGGTTTGAGCAAGGCAGAAGTAGTAACATAACCCAAAACTGCCATATTCACATCAGAAAGTGGCAACATTCCAGTGAGATTCAGGAAGGATTACCATTCCTGCATGACTAGAAATCCACCTAGAACAGAAAGTAAAACCATACCTGGAATGGTATGTTTATACAGATTTCAAGATCTCTGACACCTAATGATTCCTTGGCATTGGAGAAATAGCTGCCACTTGCCTGATTTATGGAGTTGAGTAGACCAACACCTACTGTCTGTAGGTAGAGAGATTGTTTCAGCAGCTACAGGCCACAACAACTTGTGTTAGGCACAGAAAAGGGATGGGCCAGATTTTTCAGTCCAGGACTCACTTTGGAGACACAGTAATACCCTGTTGAGAACATCTCTAATTCTGCTGTTTTATGCATTTCAGTGATTGCCATCAACCTCATTGGTAAACCTCTTGTTGGAAGAGAAGAGAAAGAGAAATATGGAGTTAATTCAAAGGCTTGTGACCTCAGAACCATCCTCTCCAACAAAGAGTGCAGGGGAGGAGAAGATGGAGGTTACTTCTGAACTGCGCAGCTCAAGCTTGCAGAGCAGGGACAGTGGGTTCTTTGAAAGAGGTGTTAAAACAGTGTTAAGCATCCGGAAGTCAATACGAATTCTGAGCAAAGATAGTGGAAAGGATGATACTGGCACTTGGAAAGGAAAAAAACTTTTGCAATGGTCCAAGAGCTACGAGGAGAACAAACTCACGACCTGTAATGATGTGGAGAAGGTCAGTGAAAACACAGAAGCAGAGCCCATTCAAGGAAAACCTCTTTCAGGTAAGAAGCGAAACCACCAGTGTCATTTGCTTGGCAGAATAAATTAACCTTCAAGGTTACATTAATTTGCAGTATGCAAATCTTGGGCCCAACAGAGGTGTTAAAGAGCCAGGCATCCCATCGTGAGGGAGAGACAACTGCACCCAGAAATTCTTGGTCTATTCCATTGGGTGCCACAGGGATTGGATAGATTGGCTGACCTTGCCTCACTGCTGTAAAGTGTTCTGCTGCGCCATGAAGTTATTTACTGCTCTGCACTGATACATTGTGAGGTTGGTAAGCTGGATCTGAGCCCATCTCATAAACTTTGATAGTCAGTTCTTAAAGGGGCGTAGATGAGGAGCTCCAGGATATGCTGTGATAAAATTCTTCATCTTCTGCAATTACAAGCTGAGGAATTGCATGAATAATGTCCATGCTCTGCCCAATAACTTGTGTCTGGCCTGGACTAGAGCAGCTCTGACAGAAACACATCCCATTCTGAGATAAGTATGGCAAGTGATGGAGACTCCACCATGTACACCATTAAGATGCATAATAGTTAATTGCCTTTCAATTGTCTTCCTTCAACCACCAGCTGGCTGATCTTGTATTGCTAAATTAAAGATCCATTTAGCACCCAACATCACCTCCCTGAATAATTATCTTAGATGGTGATTAAGTGGTGTTTTCTCACTTCGATAAACAGAACAGAATGTATTCCTCAAGTCTCTCACTGTAAGCATTTGTGTAAACACAGGTTTTAGATTAATTTCTCTAGAAGAGGCCAAGTTAATTGGTACACTCTCCCTCCCTTTCAAGTGCAGAAGCAATTGTAGCATCATATAGGCACTGAAAGATCTATGTGTTCTATGGTGCATCAGTAGTTGGGTTATTTGGCATATTTCTGTCTTGATACAGATACTCTTAAAATACACAGGTTATTTGGTGCATATGGTATAAAACCTGCATGCAGACAAGCCCAAGGGCATAAATCATGGGCTGTGAACCAGTCCTTCATATCTTCTTTGAGTGCTCTCCAATTTTTCCATACCATTTTATATGTGTATCTCTCAGAAGCAGTAGCCACATATGCCTAAGTAATACCCTTTCTCTTCTCTTGAATGTTTGTCTTTAAGTATGGGATCTCCTGTTCAGAGCATCTGTTATGATACTGGAGATGGTGAGAGCTTCCCAGGGTCTCTCTCTGTGGTAGGCACAGGCTGGAAAGGATGGCCAGTTCTGGATGGGATAGTGTCTGGCTTGCTCCCTACATCTTGAGGAGTCCTGACTATGCAATTCACCAGTGACAACCTCTGCAGTTTGCATCAGCATTTTGCTCAGGCCTCAGAAGCACAGGAGCCAGTTTAGCTTTGACATTAGTTGAGGATGTATTTTACGAAAACTTGATAATGCACAAAATCAAGACAAGAGGGAAGCCCGGGGTTTTCCCAAGATTACACCTGAACAAGGAATATTCCCAAAAATGTATCAGGAGCACAGTACCTCTGCACTAGTACCTCTGGATGACATGCTGCTGGGTAGGCTGGGGGCAGACATAACCATCTAGTGAGATATCCAACCCAAGAGCTCAGGAGGCCCAAAGGGATCTGTCCTCCTGTGCTCCCTCCCAGCCCTCCAGCCTGGGCACCCTCCATGCCTTTTTGGGCAACATGCTGAAATGCCCTTTCAGCCAGAGATACCAGAGCTGGGCTGCTGGCATCCATGCTAAAGGAAATCATGCTGGCAGGGTATCTCCTGTAATTCTCCTGCTGCCAGTTGCACTTCAGCTCCACACTAGCAGAGAGGAAGAACCAGAGGTGGTTTTATGCAGCCTGAGTCCCCAGTGTCTGCCTGTGAAGCCTTGTTAGCCATTGCTTGAGGTTTTCCTGCAGGGCCATCATCATTTTTTTGGGTATTTCCTACCTCTGTAACCAGCAGTTTAGAGATGTGCCTCGATTTGTAGTGATTGCATTCCCACTGCTTTCCTCTCCTGTGTCAAATAGGAGCTGCTGAGATCGGGGGGCAGTCTCAGGGGCACTGCTGGGACCTGACTACTCAGAGCAGCCTCCCTGCAAACCTCCCTGTGGGGCATCTTGTCCTGTGACCAACCTGCCAACTGCTTAATGCTTTCTTTTTCCCAACCCCTTCCCTGCTCTTTCTGCAGTAATGGAAATCAATGACCTTATTCAAAAAAGACAACTTTTAGAAGCATTTGCAAGTACCAAGTTATTGGAAGATGAGATTATCTCTGAACAGGATGCTGAGAAATACAAAGATAACCCCCAGGAGTTTGTACGGAAATCCAAAGATGTGGATTTGCTTTATAACTCCATCACCAACGCGATCCACTCCATTGTGGAGGGAACTCTAGAGGATCCCACTGTAGAGGACACCATGCTGACCTCCCTGGTGACTTTAATTGCCCGTGAAGAAGAAGCTCATCCTGATACAGGTAATGCTGCTTGTCCTGGGTCGGACTTGCTCGGCAGGCCCAGAAAGTGGAGGGAGGAGTGGAAGGAAGCTGTCAAAGAGAGTACTAGAAAAAGAGTCCAGAAGACACCCATGGCATCAAAGGAAGAATCAAGCTCTTGGCTTGATCTCCACTTAATTTCACTCCAGAAACGCCTGAAGGAAGATTTACTGAAAATCAAGTTATCAGTAAAAAAGTGCTATCCAGAGGAGTACCAGGTGTGTGACACATATGTGGAGGCCTTTCACAAGGCCATTGCCTCACATTTGCAGTGTCTCTCTCAGAAATCACTGGATTTCAATGAGATCTACACCTTGCTCGACTGGATGGCCAACACCTACCACAGGTAAGCTGCTGTGCTTGCCACTGCCTCCTCTGGAGAGCCACAGATGATTCCTACAGTGGAACCAGATGGCAAACCTATTAATAGATGGGGACAAAGGTTTGCAGATAAAGCATTTGCTGCTTTTTATAGATCACCACATTTTCCCCTCCCTCTTCCACTTGCTGCTCCCACTTGCCAGGAAGCTCCTCCTTGGAGCTCTGATAAACCTTCTCCTTTCAGCAGATATTTTGCAGGGTCCAGCAGCTGCTCAGTGACTTTTGCAGGCACAGGGAGGGACCTGTGGGGGAGGACTTTTTCCTGTTTAATTGAAACTGTGATGCATTTGGAAAAGAGCCACATTAACCCCCATGCATGGGGTCAGTGTCCTCTCAAGGAGGCACCAAGACATCATCAAGTGGAATTAGCCACATGAAAACAAAGGCTCTGTCTCAGATGTGTCCACTAGTTGAATGGGAGGTTTTTAGGACCTCTTAAATCATAGAATCAACCAGGTTGAAAGAGACCTCAAAGATCATTGAGCAAGCTGCTTGCAGTTCAGGGATGACCTTTCTCCCTTATGTTTCCTTGCTGATCTCATCTGGAGGGAAATTCCTGTGTGCCCCCAACCCCTGGGAACTGTACTGCACCCCAGCATTGCAGGAGAGAAGGGAAAACCCCAAGCTCCAGCACCAGGTTCTGCACCAAAGAAAACTTCCCCCACTATATTTCGCTAACTTGCTGTGAAAGAGCTCATTGAGAGTTTGCAGCTGTTTTGGGCACTGCTTTGCAATCACCTTGCCAGTTTGGGTTCTTTCCATTTGATTTTCCCATTCTAAAAGAACTTCCTTGCCTCTTGGAACCTATAACTAAAAAAGAGAAGAAATTGGCTGACCCAAACTCATTACTGATGTTACAATTCAAACAAACAAAAAAAGAAAGAGAGGGGAATAAGCTCCATGAGTATCCATTTTAGATAGTCCTTTCAGTCATGGTGGAGAGTCCATACTTAAATCCCTGATATCCTTTTAAATGAGCAGCAGACTCTGGCAGCAGCTGGGTGTGCAACGCTCCACGTGTACAGATGTACCTCTCTGGGAAATCTGAACCATGGCCATGGGAGCATTGACTCTAGGACACTATCAGCAAGCTGAGCTTATTTTCTGCTGAGCAGTCACAGTGCACCAGCCTGACCTTTACAGCACAATCCTCACTGTGGGCTCAGTGCCAGTTTGGCAATGGGAACCCCTTTTTTTGATGGCTGATCAAACAAGCAGGCCATTGCAGCTGTGTTGCCTGATAACCAGGTGACTGCTTGAAACTTACGTCTCACCTCCATCAAGTGCATGAATATTTTCTTCGTTCTCTTTTCCACCTTCATCCCCCTGAGAGATGAAATGCCTCCACGGTTCAGGGCAGGTTGCAATAGAAGCACATCCAATTGTACAGGCTAATAAAATGCTTCTTACCCCAGGGAGAGAAATACAGGCACTCCCTCCCTTTCCCTGCTAATCAGCTGACCTGATTACATATCAGAGCTGAGGAAAGTGAGTGGTAAATAAGCGTCAGCTGAGCAGACTTTGGAGTCAAACTTTATAGCTGCATGTCCACCCACCACTTCCAGCTGGGGGGGAACATGGCCCAGGCATGGAAGTGCCTTCCAGGTCCTCCTCTGGCACCTCCTCTTGCTCAGGATAATGCACAGGGAAAAACAACAGGCTGACATGAGCAGTGATGTGACACCAGAGAGGAGCCAGGTAGATGAGCTAACTCCAAAGCAACACGCTACTACAGGAATTACCCCAAAAGGCATTTTGCAAGCTCCTAGTTGAATGAATCAGCCTCAGGCTGTTTATTTTAAAAAGTGAATTCTCATAGCACTTTTCATGTCCAAACAACTCAGAAGTCTCATGATTTCTGAAGTGGGCTGGAACCTTAGATCATTTTGCTTTTGAATAATTAGGATTTCGAATGGCAAGGAAAGATTTTCTTGTTAAATCTTGAAAACAAGCATCACAATTTAAGCTTCGAGTGTGTTTCTCATGGCTTAATAATTACGTAGCTCACGCTGCATGAATATTACATCAGTTTATTCATGATCCGAGGCAATATAATTTGTTCATTTGAATCTTTCCAGTGAACTCTGTCTGGATCACCCTGATCTCAAACCAGAGGTTAAGACAGAAAACCTGTCCCTGCTGTTAACACCAGCTGATTGGGATAAGCTGAAAACCGACTACATCATTTTTGCAAAGGTAAGAGTTTTGTCCTAGTCCCCACGTGTCCCCCAGGGAAGGTAATGAGGTCTTGGATGTGGTTTCTAGCCCCATCAGGGCCTGAGTCCTGCCAGCACCACACACAGTGGCCTTTAATCAAGTGCAAAAAGGTCCTGAACACCAAGTCAGGGCCCCAAGCAGAGCCAAAGGGACTGTCCCAGCCTCACACAGTGCGGCAGAAGGTTGGTGGAAGGTCACAGCTAGGCTTCATGGGATTGAACTCATTGCAAAATTGGGTGTAAAGGCATTTTCACTGCTACTCTCACTGCATGGGCTCTCCCCCAGCACATCTGAGGTTTGCTATAGACAATTTTGGGCATCCACACCAGAGGACACCCCCATGTCCTCTGAGGAAGCCCCTTCTGCAGTTGTTTTCCTGCAGCTCTTGGCTGGCACCCTGTGTAAGACTACAGGCTTTCTTACCTCTTTGTTGGGCTCATTTTCTTGCAAACCATTTCTGAAACCAGACACTGCTCAAGGTGAGCTCAAGGTGCCCAGCTCAATGAAACTGGTATTGCTCCACTGTGCTGGTGAAAGATCACTTTGTTTCACTGGCAACAAGATTGATTTATCAGCCAGGACTGAACAGTGCTGCCACTTACTTGAGTGGCTGTACTGCCAGAAAGGACTGGTTTGATCTTTAATCCTGATGGTGCATTCCACATGCTGGAGGACTCTGCAATCAAGCAAACAGCTGACACATTAATTCTCTGCCAGGAAAATAACTTTGATTTGGGAGTACTTTGCCCCCACACAGCACAAGTCTTGGTTCTCCTGAGATCTTGTTTAGATCAATGGGTCCTAAAGAAAGACCTTTGACTCTGCCACCTTTCCATGCTGCACGTGTGAGCCTTACACATTGTGCTGATGGAGCAAAAAATGCAGTGACACTGTATTCACGTTTGCTTGGTTATCCTGAACTGCATGTTTCCTTCCCACGTTTAACCTTTAGGAGAAAATCAGAAGTTATTTTGGAAACATCCTGAGACTAGAGGTCACAGAGAAGTGGGAAAAGGAAGTTCATTCAGACACGGAGGAAAACCTTTACCAGAACTCGCTCTCCTTTGATATTCAAACGGTATTTAACTGGGGGAAAAAGGAGTGGGGGGAGCTCTGTGGCTCCAGGGAAACTGGATCTTTACCTTCTGCGGTGGAGGTACCGCCCTCTGCGACAATTTATGTAAGTCACACACTGGCAGAATACATTAGAGCAGAAAAAGCCGTTTATTACAACTTTTAGCTCTCCCGCTTGCCTTCTAGCTGCAAATTAAACCTGCTGTCAATTGTGTCAGCAACATAATAGGCAACTGATTTTGAAGTCCTTAAACCTCTTTGATTAGAAAGAAGAAAGAGAAAGAGGAAAAAAAAAAGGTGGAAAGAAAAGGTTTGTTAGGAAAAAAAACACCAACTCTTGGCTGAAAGAGCGACTTTGTCCCGAGGCTATGGAAGCCACAGAAAGGCTGTAGGCAATGACAGCCACTCCAGTTTAAACAGTACAAAAAACAAAAGCTCCTACTAGCTTTAGGGACTACAGGGTAATAAATCCAGGAGGGGTTTGGTTTCATTCTCCTCACTCAATTGGTTGAGTCACTTCAATTAAATAATGAAAAAAAAAATAAAAAGAGAGGGAGAGAGAAAGAAAGAAAATCAAAGAGTTTTGCCTGCTGCTATGATTCTTTTGCCATAGAAGAATATTACACATTGTGTGATCACAGGGAAGGCAGATCTGAATTGGATTAGCAGATGGGCAGGATGCTTTGGGGAGCACCAGTGGGAATGCAACAAGCCTCACTCTGGGCAGGCAGCTGGGGGTTTGGGAATGGGAATCAGGGAGAAGTTCCAGTGCAAGAAAGGTCTCAGGATGATGCCTGACCCCTTTGTGCTGTCCTGGTATCACTCCTGAGAAGGGGCTTGTGAGGGGCCCCAGAGATGGGGCTTATAGTCACCCTCATCATGTGGACATAACATGGGGACAGCTCAGCTCCTCTTGGGCTTTGGGCATTGATCCATCCTGCAAATACCCTCAAAAGAGGAGGATGACACCAGGGCAGCTTGGGGCTCTAGCCAACACTGCCTCTAACTCACATTCAGACAGTGGAAGGCCAGAGGCCATTAGGGATGAATGATTATGTCACAAATCAGTTGGTGTTCCTTGGCCCATTCTGCATTAGAACTTTTTAAACTGTCAGAGTTTTAATAGTAAACTAATAAAATAAAAAAAAGTCAGTGATGAAAACCTCTTGGCAACAAGTTAATTGTTTGCCCCTTTGCTAGGCAAGCCACTCTTAGTAACCAAAGCTGCATGAGATCCTTGAGAAGGATATTTCACCTGTGCTTGTCCCATTCACCAGAGCTCTTTCCTGCTCTTTTCTAGATCATTGGGGAGCACATGAAGTTATCTGGAGCTATCAGCAGAAGCCTGGAAACAAAAATGCTTGAGCTGTGCATGGCAGAGCTGCTCGAATTCATACCAAGGTGATCACCACTCCAGGCAGCACTTTCTTTCCAAATGAGTCCAACATGGGTATAAAACCAGGGAAGAGGTCCATGCACTGGAGCAGATGCTGGCACTGAGCACACACAGGCCTGCTCCTGGGAGACTTAGAGATCACAATGAGCCCAAGAATAAGCAAAGTGCAAAATAACTTGGAGGGAGTCATAAACAGACCCAGATGGGACTCCTACAAGTCCCAAAATCTAGTATCAGAGGTCCAGGAAGGAGCTGCTGTCTGGAAAGTGGTGGTACCACCATGGCACCATCCATTCAGGACCATTGTGGCATTGCTTCCTGTCTTTCCAAACTCCCACGGTCCCTTTCTGCCTGGTGCTCTCCAGCCACTCTGTCCCCAGCCTGGAGCTCTGCATGGGATTGTTATGGCCAAAGTGCAGGACCAGCACTGGAGCTGGTGGCATTGGAAAAGTCAGAGATTTGTTCTGCCAACATCCCTGGCATCTCTCCAGAAGTGCTGCCTACCTGCTCAGGCGAGTGCATCCCAAAGCCCATAATTAGCTGCCATCTATTCCCTCCAATGCACACATGTGTTATGACAGCTGGAAAAAACACATCCACACACAGAGGGGACAGGTTGGGCCAGCCATGGGTGTCTCCTGACATCACAATGCACACGGATGAGCCATGCTCAGTCTGCACACTGTTCGCGTTACCTGTGTGTCTTTTCTGACAGGTTTGAGAAGGAGTTCTCAGAATGGAGCACTGCTCAGGACAGCCCCATGTTTGTGCCCTATTTTGTTGCCTACATCAACAGCTTCCACGACCTGGTGTAAGTCCACTCCCATTGAGCCAAGCCACCACATTTCTGGGGTGCGGGAGGGTGGCAGCATCCAGAAAGGAAAGACCAAGGTGTCCTCAGTGTGCCCCACTGGGTCCTCAGCCTCCAGCTCTTCTCACCTCGTGGGAGGATTTTCCCCAAGAGATAAAAGTCACAAGGGTGAAGAGACAGAAGCAGGGATGGATCCAGTGCTTGCATGAAAGCTTTAAACTCCTTTTCAGATCATAATTTTCAGCCTCAGAGGACAGTTTTTCCAATTGGTTTTTTTTCCTGGAGGTTAGTAGTATAAACCCAGAAATACGTTCTGCAGGTTGCCCTTCGCACTGGGCTGGAGGACACCCTATGAAAGCACTCAACCCAAAAATAAACCCCTGCCATTGCTGCTGGCAGCTGGAACTTCCAGGGCTTTGCATGAATTACTTATTTCAAGCCATGTGTTGAAAAGTGTCTCTGATGCACAGGTATCATCAGCACTGGTTATCAAGGATCTGACTATCACTATAAGTAGGATGACTATCTGGCTATCCTATAAGTAGGATGGTGCCAATGAGTGCATGTCCTGGAATCTTCAGCACCTGGGGTCACCTCTGCTATGCAGACATGGTTTTTTAGAGGCCAATCCACTGAAAAGCTTAGGTTGTGGTCTCCAGCCCATGCTGCTGTGTTGCTGCCCAGCATTGTCTCCACTGGGGATGTTATACACCAAATATTCAGGGGATGGAGAGGATTTGGTGTCTCGCAGGAGCTGCAGTGAGCACTACCGTCGGGAAGTCTCTAGATGGCACGGTCTCTCCAGCAATGCTAACCTCTCCGCAGGCTTTCCCTGCCTCCTCCTGCCCCTGCGGAAAATTGCTGTCCCTTTCCCTGCTGGGGACTGGAGAGCAGAGTGAAGGGAGAGCTCAGCCCCAAGCAGACAGCTGGCAGCATTTGGGTGGTGGATTGGCTCTTCTGAGTTTATTCCTCACTCAAGTTAAACATCCATCTGCCTGGGGTGATGAGTTGTAGGTGACCTAGCAGGATGATTTTGTGGATGCTGGACCCAAACTTCAGGTGTTCAACAGGAGTTATGTACCTGAGCTCCAGCCTGGGGTGAAAGGGATGCTGTTGGGTGCTTTATAGTCCTGCCTGGGCAGCCTCAGACATATAAAATAGCTACTGGGCAGTGGCAGGACCCCACCACTCTGTGGTCACAGCAGTGGATGTGGCTCATCCAGGGAAGCTTGAGCAGCACTAGCCTCAGTTTCACACACCTCCCCAGAGTGTGTTATGGTGGGACAGGGATGGAAAGTGAGAAGAAATCCAGGACCTTGCAATGCCCCTCCACACACAGAGAGACTGGGGATTTCATTAGCCTCTCAGAAGTTGTGTTTTCTTCCTCATAGGGTAAAACCTTGCAGAAGTACACACTCTGTCTAGGAAATTCCACAGGTTTCCATCCCCTAGTCACCATCCCAGCCACTGCTTACAGACATTGCATGGAGTGAGTCAGCTGGGGAACACAGGGTCAGCAGCTTTTCCTTCTCTGAATTTAGTATTTACCTCTCTCTCTTTCCCCATAGCCCCCTAGTGCTCTCCCAGATGCCTGAAGATCATTTAGCAGAGGTGTTTCTCAAGTGAAAAAGCAACCAGCCTACGCAACTGCTCTGCATGGCTGCACCATCCCACCTGATGAGGAAGTTTGTGGGCTTTTTAAGCACAGTTACTCAGCTGTGATTAATTTTCAGTGTACAGGATTGTGCAAAAAGAGCCATTACTTTGACCCATGAAGTGTTTCCAAGAGGAAGTACTAGAAATGCAAATTTATTTTAAAATCATGCCCAACATGCCAATCTAGATAAAATGCTTAGGGCAGTGTAATAGTTTACATTTTACCATTAACTCATTGGTGGTGTCGCTCTCTCTTTTTCTAGTTCAGGGTTAGAAACAGTGTTTAAAGTCAACACTGAGGAAGTGCAGAAGATTTTGGCAGCTCTGACAAGGAACTTCACAAACATTTTTTTAACCAAACTGAGAACAAAAGCACAGGTAAGAGGATCTTGGCCACACTGTTTCCTCAATATAAGGGGTATATGTAGGACCTCTGCAGCAGCTGAGGGTCACTGCCCTTCCCTTGTCTCACCAACTAGAGCTCATTTTGCAGTGCATGACATTATGGTCCCTCCAAAATTCACTGTGCCTGACACTCCTAGAAATCCTTCTTAACCCAAAGCAACATTTCCAGCAGCCTGGGAGTTTTTTGCTGTACACAATGAGACATTTGTCAGGTTGATTACAACAATCAAAAGAAAAGGAGAAAAGGGTATTTAGTGGTTTCTAGTAACTCAGGCAAAGCAGTGGGGGGAAACCTTATCCATAGTGAAGCCCCAGGGAAGTCAGCTGAACACCACTAATGGGACACTTTTCCTTCTATCAGGACTTTGATTTGCTCTTACGGATTTGTACATCTCCCATCATGGTCTGTCAGCAAGCTCTTCAGGCAGGACAGAATTCTTTCTGGTAGAGGTGTTTTTTCCAGGCTGTTCCCATGGTGAAGAAAGACTGACTTTTCTAGCATAAGGATGCTAAAGCTCTGATATCAGCTCAACTTGTGCTAAGAGGCCTAAAAGGCAACATGCTGAAGTGCAGTTTGTACTTCTCAGGTGCTGTACATAGGACTTTCTGCTTTCAGCCAGCTGGGGTCCAACTAACTCTAGCTGGTGTAATACAAGAGATGGGGGAAGTTAAGCCTTTGATCCCATCTCTTTTCACTGGTTCTATTTCACTTTCTAAATCCCCAAACATAACTTCCAAAAATCAAGACAGTAATGCAACTGCTCCAAACTAATCCAAGACTGCCTGGCCAAGGGGACTTCCCAGTGACTGCAGATCTTGTCTGGGAGCCTAAGGAGCAGGCAGGGAAAGGAGCCAAGCCAAGGCATTGAGCAAGAGAGCCAAAATGCCATGAGAACTGAGAAGGACCGAGACAAAGCATTTCTAAACAGCTCTCCAGCAGGATGGGAGCACAGCAGAAAGGCACAAGAGGGGGAAATAATTGGGAAGAAGATTGCCAGGACTCTAAAGAGAAAGATCCTGAGAGCTAAGAGGATAAAAGCACAAAGGGGATGTGCCAAAGAAGGGATATTTTGCATTTAGCCCTTAGGGGAGTCTTCCAGGTGCCACCAGAAGTGTTTAGCAGACGTTGCTGTGTTTCTGTGTGAAGACACATTGACTCTAGGGACCCAGCAAGGAAAATAACCTCTGAGGACACTTGGTCAGAGTACCTTGTACCCGGGACAGATGGAAAACAGTGCCATCACTCCCATGTCATCACTGACCATGAGGCATCAAGCTGGAAGTGCTCCCACCTGCTATTCCTCCCCCACCACATCAGAGCAATGAGCAGAAGGAAAATCCTAGTGAGACTTCACACATGTCTGCAGAAGTATAGAGAGCCTCCTGGAAGGGCTGTGAGCACAAGCAGCTTGATTTCCTTGTGGAGAAAGCTGTAGGGGTGATGGATTACTGGGTTAATTTCCAATAGATTCACTACCAAGTGTCTTGTCGTTTCCATAGCTGGTGCAAACCCATGTAACACTAGCAAAAATGGACGCACACCCTGTTCCAGTCAAGCCTGAGTTTCCTGTGATTAACATTCACATGTATTTCTTCACCCAAACTTATTTACCTATAGAAATAGAGCTGGTGGATCAGAAGGTGGCACAGAGCAAGGAAATTAGGGGCCTCAAGTAAGCCTTTAATGCCAAAACTTCTCTTCCTTGGGGAGAGATACTTCCTCTCTCTACACTGGGGCTACTATCCAGGAAGGGGAGACATGGATGTGAGTTCCCTGGGGTGGAGAGAGAAATCCAGCCTGCTCCATGCTCCTGGTGTGTCTCCATCAGAGGGTGTGCACAGTCAGTGCTCCATGCTTGTTGGCTGAAGCATATGTGCATAGCTGGGTGCCTTCAGCTAGGGCATCAGCTAGTCTGAATATTAATAGTGACATCAGTGAATTGGTCTTTTTTCAGCCACTCCTTAAGAAAATCCTGACCAAGAACTGGATTTTGGCAACAGAAAGGCCAGACTCACTGGCCTCAACAGTCTCACAGTTCTCTGAGCACCTGCAGCACATGAAGGAGCCCTTGGGGCAGGTAGGTGGCACAATGATGCTGGTGGGTCACACTGTCATTTTCAGTCTGTGGTCAGACCTGCAGACTCCCCTGAACAGGCCCAATCCCTCAGCCTTTCCTCATCACTGAGGTGCTCCAGTCCCTTCAGCATCTTCCTTGCCCTCCCCTGGACCTGCTCCAGGAGCTCCATGTCTCTCTGGCCCTGAGGAGCCCAGAACTGGACACAACTCTCCAGGTGTGACCTCACAGGGCTGAGCAGAGAGGCAGGATCACCTCCCTGACCTGCTGGCAATGCTCTTCCCAATGCATCCCAGGATTCCATTGGCCTTCTTAGCCCCAAGGACACACTGTGACCCATGGACAGCCTGTTGGCCACCAGGACTCCCAGGTCCTTCTCCTCAGAGCTGCTCTCCAGCAGGTCAGTGCCAACCTGTGTTGGTGCTTGGGGTTATTCCTCCCCAGGTGCAGGACCTGCTCTTGCCCCTGTTGAATTTCAGTTGGTTCTGCTCTGCCCATCCCTCCAACCTGTCAAGGTCCCCCTTTGCTACTGAGGAGCCAAACTGCCAACAGAAAATCAGTGTGAGATGTATTTTCATTCCCTTGGGCATTCCCAAGGGAATGGCACAGCCATTGCTCTGTGCTGGAGCAAAGGGCTGTGAGTCGCTGACTCCCTTCAGCAGGGCTGGCCTGGGCAGTATGTGCTGAAGATGTGCTGTCCACATGTACCTCCTCTATGCCTTCAGCTGCTACTAAAGTCCTGAGAGCTTTCCCTGCCCTCCCTCACTGCCTTGGCCTAGCATGAGAACTACAAAAAAACATGAGATTTGCTTTTTTTTTTTCCCAACTAGGAGCTTCTATGTGAAGTTCATAAATATGTGGTGAAGGAATATATCAGTCAGGTCATCAAACCTAGATGGAAAATGAACAAGGAGACACGGCAGCAAGTGAGTGAAAAGATGAACATGGAAGCTGAAATCATTAATAACACATTCATTGATCAGGTATGTGAATTCCCTCCTGGCATCCCTTGGCTGCCCCATTCCCAGGGGTGCAATATTCCCACTTGGCTTCCCAGAGACTGAGGTGGCAAGCTCTTGAGGAGGCCAAGCCTCAAGAAAAATAAAAGTGCTTAAAAGAGAGCAAGCAAGATGCTTCCTGCAGGTTCATGGTGTGAGCTTCCAGCCTGGTGGCCTCTCCACAGTAGTGGCTTGCCCGTGCCCAGCTGTTGGCTCTCCCATGTGCTTCAACATCCTCCCAGGAGCATGGGAGCTTTGCATAGGTTGGTTCATGTGCTGTAGGATCACACTCATCCTGTGACAGCTTCTTCCCAGGCCTGTTTCCTTGGGCCATGGGAGACACTTTGTCGCTGTAGGATCCTTGCCCTGGATATAGCTCATGGACATGAGTCCAATGAGGAGGTCTATCCAGGCAAACAGTCTGCATACAGGAGGGTGTGGGGAGGAAATGGTGCCTGTTTGCATGTTTTGTGACTAGACAACATCAGTCTGGGATTTTCAGGGAAGCCGAAGCTGAATTCATTGCATTTTGCAGAAAGTCAGGCATCTGGGGCACTAAACCCCGCTGAGGCAGAATGCCCTCAGAGATGAGGCACATGAAACCATTAGGAAGGAGGAGGTGAAGGCTCTGGCATTTGCTGCTGTGCTGGACCACAGCCACGATGTCCTGCTCAGGGTCTGGCTCACTGTGGTGCTTGTGAGCCCTGTGAGTGCAGTCAGGTCCTGGGGGAGCTCCTGGGGGTGTTTTGCCATTTCCACCCATCACCGCCTTCCCAAGACAGTGTGTCCTGCCTGCAGCAGTACTGTCTCACTCCAGTGAGAACAACCTGCTCTGCACTGCAGGGAAACAGGCATTTAACAGGTGCTGCTCTCCCCCCTGACATCCCTGTGTGCCTCCTTTTCCACAGGGCTCCGACTCCGACTGGCTCCTTTCTGCCATACACCACATTGCCAACATCATTGGGGAGAAGAAAAAAGACAAGATCAAGGCGTATGTCAAGGAGCTGTGCCAGGATTATCCAGATATCAGGTACATGAAACAGCAGATGCCAGAACTGTTCTGTTCCATCCCAAACAACACCTGCTTGCCCTGTGCCTTGGCCAAGCTCTTCAGCTTCTCTTTGTTGGTAGCCACACATTAGAGATCAGGGTGCCAGCAAGAGTGGGAATCCCACCTTATTTTTCTCTCTTTATGACTGTATATTTTTTTCTTTCCCCCCCCCCCTTTCTGCTGAATTTTATAATGCACAGAGATCACCTTCAAAGGCTTTTAATTTTAGAATGGAATGGAATGGACTGGAATGGACTGGACTAGGTTAGACTAGACTAGGCTAGACTAGACTAGAATCATAGAATTTTAGGGGTTGGAATGGGCCTTACAGATCATCTAGTCCCAACCCCCAGGCCTGGGTGGAATAGAATGGAATGGAATGGAATGGAATGGAATGGAACGGAACGGAACGGAACGGAACAGAATAGAATAGAATAGAATAGAATAGAATAGAATAGAATATAGTTTTTCAGTCTATTAGGAAAGGACCAACAACAATCACCCAGTCCAGCTGCCTGACCACTTCAGGTCTGGCCAAAGGTTAATGCAAGCTATTAAGGTCTTTGTCCAAATGCCTCTTAAACACTGACAGGCTTGGGACATCAACCACCTCTCTAGAACAATTGACTGTCCTCTCAGTAAAGAAATGCTTCTTAATATCAACTCCTGAGCTCCCCTGACACAGCTTTGAACCATTCCCATGCATCCTATCACGGGATCCCACAGTAAAGCTCCGGTTTGCTTTTCAGTTCATCACTACTATCAGCCCAGTTTGCCAACTTGAAGGCTCCAGCTTTGGAGGAAATAGTTTGTCTCCTGCTTTCAGGCTCAGACCTCAAAGTGCAGCAGCCATTGACACGGTTCAGCTGCATTTTCTGAAAGGGCCTCAATACAACCACAAAATTTTGGAATAAATTATAAAATCTTTATTTTGTATGTTCCATTTGCTGTTCCAAAGCAGCATCTGCAAAATTTAAGACTACTGGGAAAGTAAACAAAGTGATTAGCTCTGTGAATGGCTAAATAGCTGAGAATCACAAGTTACCTCCTCTTCCACAGCTCTTCTACCAACTATTGAGAATTAATATCAGTGGTATAGATTGCAAAGAAAATTCATTTCATCATAGAATCATAGAATTTTAAGTGTTGGAATGGATCTTAGACATTATCCGGTGCCGTCCCCCTGCCCTGGGCAGGGACACCTCCCACCAGAGCAGGTTGCTCAAGGCTCAGCCAACCGGGCTGTGAACACTGCCAGGGTTGGGGCAGCCACAGCCTCCCTGGGCAACCTGTGATAGTGTCTCACCACCCTCACAGGGAAAACTTCTGCCTAACATCTAACCTAAATTTCCCCTCCTTCAATTTGTCCCCATTGCCCCTTGTCCTGTCCCTGCAGCTCCTAACACAGATCCCTCTGCAGCTTCCCTGGAGCCCCTTCAGCTCCTGGAAGGTGCTCTGAGGTCTCCACACAACCTTCTCTTCTCCAGGCTCAACAGCCCCAACTCCCGCAGCCTGTCCTCACAGGGGAGATGCTCCAGTGCTCTTACGACCTCTGTGGCCTCCTCTGGACTTGCTCCAACAGTTCCATGTCCTTCTTATGTTGAGGGTAATCAGAGTAATTTCAGAAAAGGTTTTTGCACTGGGCACAGTTCCTGGTGGATGACATTTATACAATCAATTTATTACCATAAATTTGGCAAATTGCTCAGAACACTGAAGTGGATCCTCAAATATTAAGAAAAAAAAAATCACCTTAAATATATTTTCCTCTCCCCAAAACTGAGGCTCAAAAATTTTCATAGCTATATTTAACTTGAGTGGGTCAGATATGCTTCCCCCATTATCTGTGTGGGGAAATCCAAGACATGGACATGAAAGAGAATAATTATTCCTAAGTAATTTCCTAGGGGAACACTTATCTTTAAAAACACCAAAACTTTAATCCCAGTGGCCAGACTAAGCTGACGAAGGAGGCAGTGCCTGTTCTGGGAAGGATGGGGGAGGTAAATGATGCCTAGTCATCAATAATGGCTATTTGAAAGCAATTTTCTGGTCAGAAAAGCCATTTACAAGGCTGTGATTTGTTTTTCAGCATTAGCCTCAGACTCAAGCCAGGTTGGTTTATCTAATTTCTGGCTTTCCATGATTGAGTAATGTTATTTTTAACAATGGAGTTCGGAAAACAGGGCGGAACCTGCTGAGCCTGCATTGCTTCCTATTCAGGTCTCTGTTAATTCTTCCCCTGAGCTCTTGGAGACGTAGCTGAATTTGTATATACCAAGATTACTGGAACAGGGAATGTTTCCAAGTTGGCTTTCCAGCTCTAATCTAATTAGTGCCCGTCAGTACTAAATATTAGCACTCCCATTACTCAAAATAATCATTAAACAAAAGGTCTGCAGCCTCTCAGGAAAACTTGCACGAGGCATCACGTGTGTGTGGAAATGGAGGAGGAAATTCCCTGAAGCACCAGCAGCAGGAGTGCGTCCCACCAGTGTGGTGTGGCAGGAGCTGATGTTTGCTGGCTTGGTACCTGCAGAGATTACAGACTCCTGTCCTGGTGTCTCCTCCAGCGCAGTGAGGGGATGGTCCCTGTCACTTTGCTGTGCCCTCGCTCCATCTCTGGCATGGCTGCTGGTTGTTTACCTCTGGGCTGGCTTTGCTTGCCAGGTCTGAGCAAGGTTTTGTTTGGTTTCTGCAGGAAGAAACACATCTTGGCCATCCTCACGCTCCGGGGGTTGGGGCGCACCAGGAGAGCGGCGATTGTTCGTCAAGCCTGCCATGCACTGGAAAGCTCTGAGGGAGGAGAGGGCAGCACACTCTTTGCAGAAATTGATGTTCCTGTGGTCGTCAGCTGCTTATAAAACAGAACCAAACCAGCAGTCAGCATCCTCCCTCCTCCTCCTCTGCTGCCTCTACACGTGATCCAAAATCTGCTACCCCACTTTGCTCCTCTGCAAACTCTACTTGTTGACTGCTGTGGAGAAAGGAGTCGTTTTCTGAACTCACTCCCCCAAGTTCAGAACCCAAAGGCAACAGATGCACCAAGGCACCAAACTCCTGTGAGAGCTCCAGCCCAGGCACTGCGTCCACCACATGTTCCATACGGATTCTATTGCTGATACTGCTCCATTGTTTGGTCCAAGACTGAGTCTCTTTTCAGAGAACAGGAGAAAACCAAAAGCAGTTCACTCAGAGCTATATTAAGGCTTGGACTGTGCTTTGCATAATTAGACAGCAGAAGAACAAGAGCCTCCTTCATAATTAGTGCCCGTGAGCAACTGAGGGGCAGAGCTTGGGCAGGGATGTGGTAGCACCCAAGTCTTATTTCCTCCCTCGTGAACCAGCTGGCCAAGCTGGCATGTCACAAGGTCATGACGTTGTGACCTGATGCCACAAACCACTACCTGTCTGAGGAGGAAAACCTTGGGTAACCAAACCCCACAGCTGGAGCACACAGCACATGGACCACTCTGCCCTCCAGGATGGTCCCTGTGGCCCTTCTGGCATTTCAGCAGATTTTCCCCACTCATTGCCTACCTTGCAAAACTCCTGTTGGACCAAAGATCGTATCATGCCATCACAGCCTCTCTCTGTGGACAGACATGTCTGGATTGGATGTGCCATGTGAAGGGAGGCTCCAAGTTGTCCTTGACCTGGGGAAAAGGGTCACTATGCCTCTAGTCCATTTCCTTGGGTTGTTCAAAGTGTTTTAAGAAATCTGGTACAATGTGACTGCAGTATGAAACCAAATGTGAATTGAACAGACATAGTGCTGCAGATGAGATCCTCTTCTGGTGTAAGCCAGTGTCACCCTGCACCAGGCATGGGACACCATTGCTTTAACTCCATGAGGAATCCAAACTATTAAATCCAGAGGAGACTAAAAGAGACATCCAGCAGCATACAGCTGTACAAATTTGATTTTCTTTAATTTTCTCTAATTCAATTTATCCTTTAGGTTGCTCTCTGCAAGAATTAATCCAAGACTTCGCAGAGACATGTTTATGAGCCATCAATTACCATGATAAATGTGGACATGGCATAGCCTTGAACACTAATTTGTGTGCAGCAGAGCTTACAGCGTCAGTCGTGAGCCTCTTTTGTTTCCTTTGCTTTGGGTTGCACCTTTAATGCACAATCATCATATGAAAAAATTTTTAAGGTAGTCTTGCTACTTTTCCACAGTCAAGACGAGGTGTTTTTCTTAAGATGGCTTTGAAATATCAGGTATAAATTGAGTGCTTGAGGCAGGAAACCCTGGGAGAAATTTTCTGCCCTGCATCATTCTGCAATACAGACAATTCCTAGAAGTCCTCAGCTTGGTGACGCTCTGTATTTGCTATGGAAAAGGAGAAGTAAAATATCATCTGCATCTCCCATTAGATGTGCAGAGCACATGAACCCTTTGGAGCTCTCCTTTCCTGTCCTGGGGACATGGTGCAAACAGGGAATCCTGGATTACAGCCCTGGTGGGTCTGTGAGCTACATCTCCTATCCCAGGGGAGGGAAAGGCATCAGTGCAGAGAGATTTACACTTTATGTCAAAAATACTAAGTGCGAGAGATAAAAAGAGGATTTCAACTTCGAAGCCTGAGACTTCTGAGACTGATTTTTCAGTGGAGTGCAGGATTTTTACACTGTCTCCCACAGCATATTTCTAGAAGAACTGGCTGCTCATGGCTTGGGTGGGTGAACTCTTCAATGGGTAAAAAA